CTTAAGAGCTCATTTTTCCCTTAGTATTTCAAGTGTTCACTACTTGTAAATCGCAAGAAAAAAACTAAGTTAGAAATCCAAGGAAATTCAAGGCGCTTTAAAAACTCATTTTTGCCTTAGTATACTTTCATTACTCATAAAATGTAAGATCAAAATTTGAAATGTTTCCAATTATAATTGAGGCTTTTTTTCAAGAATACACAATTAAATTGTTCTAAACAAATTTTTAGGCATAAATATGTCCTTATGTTAAAAATGAATAAGTTGTATTCCTATTAACAATATTTGGACATTTACCTTTCATAGGTTTATTTGTTCTTATATTATTATGGGATAATGACTTATTATTCCTAGAAAAATATTTTGATATTTACCACTTGAGGTTTCTTTATTCAAATATTAATAGTGAACAATGACAAATTATTCCCAATAATATTTTGAATATTAACCTTTTTTTGGATTTTTTTTATCCAAACATTACTAATGAATAACAAATTATTCCTAATAATATTTTTGGATATTTATCCCTATGGGATTTCTCTATCCAAATATTAATAGTGAATAAAACAAAATTCCTAAAAATGAGATTTTTATATTTTTTGAAATATTGGCCAACACCCTTTGGAATTTACAAACATGTTGTAAAATCCAAGATGCAAGAAAATAATTTTTTTTTCAAGAAATCCATGCTAAAACACTTTTTTTTACCTCGAATATTTGCTTTTTTTTGAAAAAAAGTAATTTAAAAATATGTTACAGTATTAGCCATATGCAACACACAAAAACATTTTTATATTAAATAAAAAACTATGTATCACAACAATTCAATGCAAACATCACAGGAATAAGTTCGTCATGTAGGGCCAAAGTCCTACATCTAATATTTTGAACTCAAAACAATGATTAATTGCAATAATTAAACGCAAGAATCACAGTTAAAGTTATTAAACCATCACAAGAATAAACTCGTCACATGGGGGCTAAAGTTCTAAAAATAACATTTTGAATTTAAAATCCTACAACAGTGTATGTGACCCACGACTCATCCTCTCCTATCCTAATCTTCAAAACTGCCATGCTCGCGAAAGTAAAGAAACCTGAGGGGCATGCTTTTATACCATGTATTAAAGACTAAGACTAAAGGAACAAATGGCCATCTATCTCGTCAAAAACATGATCTAAGAGTCTGCAAAGAAAAACCACCCCACCTGAAAATGAATTTCCCTCTTGCTCTTTTTACTTTCTCTTCCCAAAACTTCCTTTATGTTATATACTTTCTTCACTAGCCAAAAGTTTTGTTTAGAAACAAGAATTGCTCCCCCTGCACCATTCTGCAACTCCTACTTGCAGAACAAAGAAAATAGAGCACAAACCATCGAGCGATTCCCTTATTACTTTACCTTTGATCCCCAAAGGAAACCTTCCTCTTCTTGTTGTTAGGAGCTTTTTTAAAAAAACTCTTTAGAGCTTGTTAAACTCTTTTTTGGCAAGGTAGGATATATTGCAGTCAAGCTCTTCTCTCTTTTGTTGTTTCCCATTGTTTTTGCTCTCAAACCTTCTTCTTGTTCTCTTGGTTTTCTCCCTTTCCTTTCCTTTATGTTACCCTTTCTCTCCTGTTTTGTTATTTCCTCCCTCTGTCTTCGATCTCTATTGGATTTTTTCTTCTCCGCGTTCACTCTCTACATTTCCGATACTGTTTTTGTTTTCTCTTCTTCCTCCTCTTATAGAAGCTATGTTTCTAATTCACTAACATTACTATGCAACATTCCCGGCAAGGAGGCAACTCAAGTAGAGAGACCATGAAAAACAATCACTCACAACAACAGATCAAGGAAAAAACACGCAGTTGTAACGTTGACAAGTAATCCAAACTATAAAGTATAGCAGTGACACTAGGCAAACACCACCTTTTATTCAAACTAAAAACTAAAACTAGAGCAAAGCGGGGAACAGATTTTGGAAAATAAAAAAGCAGCAGATGTCGAGTTTCAATACAGCAGAAACTGGTAGCTATATCTGCAGATGCTGCTGGGCTATGAACTCATAGTCTCTCACAGTAATAAACCAAAATAAAAGGCATACAGCCTTAATGTAAGATCAAGGGAAAAAAACATTGTTGTAACGTAGAAAAATAAATATAAACTATAAAGTATGGCAATGATAGTGGGCAAGCACAATCCTTTTGTTCAAACCACAATAAAATTGAACATCTAACAAAAACCATAAGAAATAGCAGAAAATGAGGTGCAGGCAGGTGAAAACCTTTACTTTTCTGCCTCTGAAACTGAAAAAAAGCCTTCCTCTTTTTTGTCGTTAAGAGTTTTTAGGAGACCCGTGGGTTTGGTGAACTCTTTTTCGGCAATGCAGGATAGACCGTAGATGATTTTTCCCTTTCATTCTCTTTGTTTTTCTATGCTAGCTCTCTTTGTTTTTACTCTTCCCTGTGTTTTCTTCCCGTTTTTCTCTTTTGTTTCACCTCTCTTCCCCTTTTTTTTTTTTTTCATAGCTTGCTTATATAGTTAAGCAAACTTGGAGAACAGCCCCTACCCCCTCTCATCCTAGCTGTCTATGTTAGGGATGGAATTCCAACCATTAAATGATGGCGAGGCTCCCTCTGCGTGACTGTGTCCTCTTCCCCAGCTGGCACTAGAGGTACAATGTTGTTTCCTCCCGCAGCTGCCATCCTAGCTTGAAAAGGGGGACTGTTTTGTGCAGCAAGTTGCAGGATGCAAGGACGAAGGATTTCAAAAAAACACAGTAAAAAGGTTACAGAGGAGGGAACGGAATACAGACGAGGTACAATACCATGCTAATTATATTTCCAACAAAGGGGTTGTTCTCATACGGCACCGTCTAGCTAAAGAAAAGAATTAATGCAATAGAGGAAAAGACAACGTCATTTGTTGTTAAAAAGGCATTAGAAACTTGATCCATTATGGCAGAATTTCTATCATTTGCCGATCCTATCCCCTTTTTCTATTTCTTTAAAACCTAGCCAAGTTTCTTCTAATTTACATCGGCAATTAACTCTCTTATTTTAGTCTCTTTTTTCAATTCACTCCTGCAAAGTTAGGGGGCAAAATCCTTCCTATGGTAGAAAAATATTTTCTTTGCGGTAGAATTTGTTTGCGACATAATTTTTTTTTACGACAGGATTTTTGCTTCCTTATTAGATATTCAAATATGAATATCTTGAGTTTTTGATATCGAAATCAAGTGATTCATCTACACATATAGGACTACAACTTTCATGAGAATTTGAGGTGAGATAAAATTATTTTCTAGAACAGAATCGAGCCGTAATTTGGTTGGAAAAAATGGTCTCCTGATCTGATTTAAAAAACTAACAAATATCGAGCATCCTGATATGAGTGAGAGTGTAACCTAAGAAGAAAAACCAGCAAAATCATGACAGAAGTAGAGTTTTTAGTGCAACTAGGGTCAGATCCTGCTTGCGGCAAAATTCTCTAATTTCATGTCAGATATTCAAACAGGAATATCTTGCACTCCTGATATTGAAATCAAGCAATTCAAAAGCCTAAATTCATCTATGCGTCCAGGACTACAACTTTGATGAAGGATTCGATGTGAGATAAAATCATTTTACAAAAGTGAATCGGGTCGCAATCCGATTGGTAAAAATGGTCTCCTAATTCGATTAAAAAAACTAACAAATGCTAAGCATCCCAAGTTGAGTAGAAGTATAACCTAAGAATAAAGATCAGCAAAATCATAGTGGAAGCAAAGCCTTTAGTGTGAAATTCGGGTCAAAATCCTGCTTAAGGTAGAGTTCTCTACTTTCATTTTGAGATATTCAAACAGGGATATTTTAAGTTTCTGATATCAAAATAAGGTGATTCAAAACCTGAAATTCATCTACGTGTATAGGAATATGACTTTCATAAAGGATTAAGAATGAGATAAATTCAATTTAAAGTACAGAAATTGGTGCAACATGATTGGTCAAAGAGGATCTTTTGATCTAAATCAAGAAACTGACGATGTTAAGTATCCTACTTTGATTGAGAGTCTGCCATAAAAATAGCGAGCCCTAGGACCCAATAAAAGTGTAGGTTAATTTTTCAACATGTCATGAGTGATAAAATATAGTCGGGATGGTCGGGTATTGGATGGAACCAGATCAGAATCAAAGCCTAAGTTGGAACAAAAAATTACGATAATGGCAGAGCTGTTTTTTAGTGCAACTTCTGAGGGATTTGTCCAACCTTAGAGACCAGATAGCAAATGAACGAATTTAGCATTTTAAAAAATCTTAATTAGCCTAAAAATCTTGACAATTTCGATAGCAAAATGGAAGGATAAGGAGAGCAGATGATAGCTGAAACATGGTCTGAAGAAAACATTTCTTTCTCCTTTGTTTTTGTCAATCTCCCAGCAACCTTGAACTAAACTCCTGCCTTTGATTTAAAGGGGATATATACCATCTCCATTAGCACGTATGACTAAAAAATGAGTAACAACAACTTGGATCAACAATTCTGTTGAGCATTCGATAGGTACGCAATTGGCAAAGTATGAGACAGCAAAAGAGGTTTAAGACCATCTGCAAAGGTTATTCACGCAATCAAATTTTGCAAAACAATATCAATTAGAGAATGGCATACGGACTCTTCATCAAAAGAATATGAGTATTCAAGAGTTTTATTCTGCTATGATAAATCTTTAGGATCAATTGCCTCTTATAAAATCGACAGAATTAAAGGTATGTAGTGCCTATATTGAGCGAAGAGAGCAACAACGATTGGTACAGTTTTTAGCAGCACTTCGCAGTGACTTCGGAGGACTTAGAGGTTCAATTCTGCATTGTTCTCCACTACTTTCTGTTGACTCTATTGTTAGTGAGTTATTGGCTGAAAAAATACATCTTTAGTCTTATTATGAAAAGGGAATTCTTTCTGCTTCAAATCTTTCTATACTAGCAGTACCTTCTAAGCCATTCTCTAATCATCAAAACAAGCCTTACACAAGGGTTAACTTCGATGAGTGTAGTTTCTGTAAGCAGAAAGGTCATTGGAAGGCTCAGTTTCCTAAGTTGAGACAGCAAAATCAAGCTTGGAATTGTGGCAGCCAGTCACAATCTAATGCTCATAGACCACATCAAAGTTATAAACCACCACACCATAATACTGCATCAATAGCTTCCTCAGGCTCTATTACCGATCCCAATACTTTGGTTGAGCAATTTTAAAAGTTTATCTCCTTGCAGCCACAAACAATGTTCGCTTCTTCTTCTATAGGTCAGTTGCCTCATAGTTCCTCATGTATGTCATACTCTGAATAGGTCTTGGATTCTGGTGCTTCCCATCATATGTCTCCAGATTCCTCATCTTTTACCTTTGTATCCCCTTTATCCTCCATTCCTGTTATGACTGTTGATGGCACTCATATGACCTTAGCAGGTGTTGGTTCTATTATCACACCTCACTTGTCTCTCCTTAATGTTTATCTTATTCCAAAACTCAAATTGAATCTTACGTTTATTGGTCAAATATATCATTTTGGTGATTATTTAGTCATGTTTTCTGATTTTTTTTATTGTGTACAGGATCTGCAGTCTGAGAAGCTAATTAGGACAGGCCGTAGGGAGAATGGACTATATATTTTGGATGAGCTAAAAGTGCCAGTTGCTGCCACTACTGCTGCTGCTGCTACTAGTATTGATTTATTTTCCTTTCGTTTGAGTCTTTCATCTTCTAGTTGTTATTTATGGCATTTTCGTCTAGGTCATGTTTCATCTTCTCGTTTGAGATTTTTTGTATCCACAGGAGCTTTAGGAAATTTGAAAACTTGTGACATTTCTAATTGTAGTGGATGTAAACTGACAAAATTTTCTGCTTTACTTTTTAATCGAAGTATTTCTGTTTTTTGTTCACCATTTGATTTTATTCATTCTGATAAATGAGGACTTTCTTTTGTTGCCATAAAAGGACGGTCTCGACATTATGTCTCTTTTATTGATAATTATATTCGTTATTGTTGGGTTTATTTAATGAAACATTATTTAGAATTCTTTGAGATATATGCAGCTTTTCGAGCTCTTATCAAAACTCAACATTCTGTTGTGATCAAATGATTTAAGTGTGATTTGGGTGGGGAATACACCTCTAATAAATTTTTCCAATTGCTTGCCTTAGATGGAACCATCCACTAAACTCCATATACAGATACTCTTGAGAAAAATGGTGTTGCTAAAAGAAAACATAGGCATATTGTCGAAACTGTTCGTTCTCTCTTGTTGTCTGCTTTTGTTCTTAGTGAGTTTTGGGAAGAAGCTATTCTTACTGCAGTAATTTTGATTAATACAATTTCATCTTCTCATAGTTCAAGTCTATCTCCTTTTGAGAAGTTATATGGGTATGTCCTTGATTATTTCTCATTTAAAGTCTTTGGTTGTACTTGTTTTGTTCTTTGTCCTCATATAGAATGTAGTAAATTATCCTCTCGATCTGTTATTTGTGTCTTTTTGGGTTATGGTAAAGGTAAAAAGAGTTATCGTTGTTTTGATCCAATAACTTAGAAATTTTATGTATTTTGTCATGTTGTCTTCCTTGAGCATATATCTCTCTTTTCTATTCCATCCACTACTCATAACCTAACTAAATATGATATTATTCATATAAATCCCTTTTCTAAGGATTCTGGTAACGATAACTCTCCCATGTTCGATCAATTTGTACTCATAACTCTACAGGTACTGGTACTTTACTCTCTGGCACACCTGAAGCTCCATTCTCATTTACAGCCCCTCAAACTTCATCTGAGATTGTGGATCCACCTCCATGTCAGTCCATTCATATTCATAAGTCCACAAAACTACCAAATTTTGCTTATTCTTGTTATTCTTTATCATTTATTTCCTTTGTAGCTTTTATTCATTGTTTCTATGAGTCATCTTCCTATAAAGAGGCAATTATTGATCCGCTTTGGCAGCAAGCTATGGATGAGGAACTTTCTGCTTTATATAAGACAGATACTTAGGATCTGGTTCCTCTACCTCCTAGTAAGAGTGTTGTTTGTTGTCGTTGGGTGTATCAGATTAAGACTAATTTTAATGGGTCTATTGAGCGATACAAAGCTAGGCTAGTTACAAAAGGATACTCTCAACAGTATGGTATGGACTATGAGGAGATATTTGCCCCAGTTGCAAAAATGACAACTATTCATACTCTTATTGTTGTAACTTCAATTCGTCAGTGGTTTATTTCTCAGCTTGATGTTAAAAATGCCTTCTTGAATAGAGATCTTTAAGAAAAAGTTTATATGGTACCCTCTCCTGATATTTCACATGACTCTCGATATGTTTGTAAGCTTAAGAAAGCATTATATAGTCTCAAACAAGCACCCTGTGCTTGGTTTGAGAAATTCTCTATTGTGATCTTATCTCCTGACTTTGTTTCTAGCAGTCATGATTCTGCTCTTTTTATTAAGTGTATTGGTGCAGGTCGTATCATTCTGTCTTTATATATCGATGACATGATTATTACTGGTGATGATGACATTAATGATATTTCAGTTTTAAAGACAGAGTTGGCTTGACGATTTGAAATGAAGGATTTGGGTTATCTTTGATATTTCCTGGGTATTGAGGTAGCATACTTACCTAGAGGTTACCTTCTTTCTCAGTTGAAATATGTTACAGATATTCTTGAGCGGGCTAAACTTACTGATAACAAAACTATAGCTACTCTCATTGAGGTTAACATAAGGTACTCTTTTTCTCAGGTTTACCTTTGATAGATCCTACTTTATACTGCACTATTATTGGGAGTTTGGCATATCTCACTATTATTCGTCCAGATATTGCATATGTTGTTCATGTTGTTAGTCAATTTGTTGCTTCTCCTACTACTATTCACTAGGCAACTGTTCTTCGTATTTTGTGATATCTTCGGGGTACAGTTTTTCAGAGTCTTTTATTTTCATCCACATTTTCCTTTGAGTTGCGTGCATACTCTAATGTTGATCATGATAATGATCAACAGATCGCAAGTTTGTTACTGGGTTTTGTATCTTTTTAGGTGATTCTCTTATTTCTTGGAAAAGCAAGAAACAATCTATTATTTCTCAATTATCCACCAAAGCAGAATATCATGTCATGACATCTACTACCAAAGATATTGTTTGGTTACATTGATTACTTGCTAATATGGGAGTTTCCTTTTCTCATCATACTCCTATGTATTGTGACAACCAGAATTCTATTCAGATTGCTCACAACTCGATTTTTCATGAGCAAACTAAGCATATTGAGATCGATTGTCATCTTACTCGTCATCATCTCAAGCATGGCACCATTGCTTTGCTTTTTGTTCCTTCTTCCTTGTAGATTGCAGATTTCTTTACCAAGACGCATTTCATCTCTCGTTTTTGTTTTCTGGTTAGCAAACTCTCGATGATTGTAGCTACCACATTGTGAGTCGTGAGTTTGAGGGGAGATGTTAAATAATATTTATGTAGTCTTATTTATTAAGGGTAGAATAGTACTTTCAGTTTAACTTATATATACTTTATTTGGATTTAGATTAAAATTAAGTATTCATAATATATAAATTATTTAAAATTTTAGCCTTTTTTTTGTATCTGATATTAATTATTTTAACAGACTTCTCCAGCATACAAGATTTCGTTTCCAAAGGAAAATAAAAAACTGAGCCTACGAGCCTTCAGGCGGATTATGCTGAGGCTAACTTCAAAGGTTCTGAACCGGCAGGCGGATTACTGAAATGGATATTTGAAGCTTCCACCTCCCTGGGCAATATTTTGCACATTAACGCTCTGATCAGTAGATAAACAAGCAAGTATTTTGCAAGAACTAGCTGGTGTTTAAACAAGACCTCAATTGGGAAACCTGTATTGATTAGGTTCTCTGTATAATTCAGCAAAATCTTCACCGATTTTCTCTTCAATGGTAGGTGTAGTAGCCACAAGCATCCAAGTTGCTGGGTTGTAACCATCGGGGCATGAGGACTACAGAATCAACATGGTTACCTCAATATGAGGAAATGAATAAAGAATATCTGCAGCTGACATGGGAATGCCAAACGATGATTACTTCTTTTTTCTCTTCAAACAACAGAGAATGTGGTATCAAGTATAATGATAAAGCAGGAAGGCATAAGCCTTGCTCCAAGTAGCAAGCTAAAGATAGCGAAGCCATGGCCCTTGAATTCATGCTAGTAAAAGAAAAACAGGAATCTTTAGAAGAAATCATAGGTTGAAAGGGTTATGTTGATTTTCATTAGAAGTATTCTTCTTTCAACAACAACCATATAATCAGAAACATAACGTGACACGCATAGAAAATCTAACGCAGACTGTTTGTCATGAATCTAACTGGCATTTTCTAGAACTTTGAAAGGATAATAGTGAGAGTCTGGACCTTATCTTTTCAATTTCCTTTTCTTTTTTTTAATAAAAACTATAATTATTAAGCTTACCCTGATTTTGTGGGTTCGTGAGTTGTATTTTTTTTAAAAAAATCAAATTAAATTGATTTATTTTCACTTGCTTAATCAGGTGAATAAAAATCTATTTAATTTTTTAAATAACTTTGTTTTGATCTATTAAATAAACCTGTCGTAACCTGAGCTTTAAGTTAAGTCATGAATTGAAAAATCACATCATTATCCATAAGAGAGACCACGTTTTATCCATGGCTGTAGTTGAAAAGCGAACATGTAAAAGATCTTCCCCCCTCAGAATAATTGTAAGAAAAGACAGAAAGGGAGAAATCCATCTCACATCTACACCAATCATGGAGCCAGTGGCTAGCTGATGTTTGGACGCTGCTTCCACTTGACTTAACGTAAATGAATAGAATTCTTTTTATTTATAAAAGATATAAATATTGTGAAATTCAACTTGAAATTAACCTAAAATATAAATTCATATTATATAGATATATTTATAGAATATTTAAATATCTTCAATAATAAATATTATTCATATATGAGTTTTATGTCAATATTAATATATATTCATGATTTTATTTTTTATTAATTAATAAGTGATAATAAATAATAGATACTTATTGAATATGTAAAAATCGATAAATAATTTATAATTTTTTATTTTTTATTTAATAAATAATAAATAGAATATTAATATCAAGAAATGCAGCCATGGCTATTTCCTTCCGTGTACCTTGTGCCTGCAATTATAGCTGCAAACAACCACTGGTTATAAAACGAATGCATATAGAGCAAGCACGCAGGGGGCGATAGAACAACGAAGAGCTGCTTAAATACTGCTAATTCGAAACTTAGACCGGATAATGCAATCCTTGAACCTCCCAATACCAATTTACAACAACAATCTAGCTCCTCAAAAAGCTGACAAGCATTCTCTCTTTAGAAACACAAGAGACCAAACGCACCGTTTCCCTACTTCGCTTCTCGCGGCCAAACATGACCTGGTTCCCAAAGAGGAAGAAGATAAAGGGGTGGCGTCTGTGCCTTTGCCGGAGGGGCTACTGAGGGAGGCGATGCCCCGTCACGTGGCGGTGATAATGGATGGCAATGCGAGGTGGGCCAGGCAGCGTGGGTTTATAGCAGCATCCGCTGGGCATGAAGCTGGTGCACGGTCACTTAGGGAGCTTGTTGAGTTGTGTTGTGACTGGGGGATTGGAGTTCTCACTGTTTTTGCCTTCTCTTATGATAATTGGATTAGGCCTAAGGTCAGTAGCCTTCCCTCTCTCTTCCTTTCTTTTGGTAAGTAATTTAGTAGCGATGGAGTTCACAAATTCTTGAAGGAAAAAACTTAAACTAATTCACTTCCATGTTTCTTTACTTTAATTGTGATTGGAGTGTGTAATATAGTGCAGGAGGAGGTTGATTTCTTGATGAGTTTATTTGAAAGGCTGTTGGTGTCCGAGTTGGATAATTTAGTGAGGTAGCAATCTATCTGCTAGAATTCTTTCTCTTACCACCGATCCAGTGTCTTCATTTTTTTTTTTTTTTTTTTTGTAGTTTCTTTCTTTTTTTCTTTTTTTTTTTTTTTTTTTTTTGTAGTTTCTTTCTTTGCATAAACATGGGGAATTGCTGTAAAACTCAAATGATCTTGGTATGCAATGGCAATTAGATTAGACTCTTAGGCTAATTTTAATCACATCAAATCAGAAACCAGGAAAGATGAGATTACTTGTTTTGGGACCAGAATAGAGGGCTAAAATTGCTAGAAAATCCCTATCAAATTTGTTAGTTTCAGAAAGTCCAAAGCATTTGCGTGTTAGACTTTTATCAAGCTTGATTCGCGGGAATATCCCTTTTCTAAATGACTTCCATCTAGACTTTCTACAATGTTTTGCTCAAAAAACATGCTTCTTTTGTGTATAAAATGCTCTTGAGCGTATCTGTGTGAGCCTTTATATGTATGATCAAACCAGCATGTTTTAATGCTAACCTGATTCTAGATCCTTTCTGGTTGTCAATAGTTTACTTGATTTGTGCGTGCGCAGTGTAATGAATGTTTACAAATTTGAACATCAAAATGTTAGAGAAGTCATCACATGGTAACCAGTGGAATACTGTTTCTCATGTATGGCATCAGTGCATCACTGCTGCGAAATGCAATACAATCGTGGCTATTTGAAAATATACAAATATTAAAATGTATGCAGTAGTTTGGTTTATTGCCATCGCTTTTATTGGTCCTGATGCTTCTTATGCTACTCGCAGGCAGGGCGCTCGAGTCTCTACAATTGGAGACTCGTCCAGGCTCTCGGAATCTCTGAAGAAACTGATAAGTGACTTAGAGGAGAAGACGAAAGACAACTCCAGACTTCATCTCATCGTGGCAGTCGGCTATAGTGGGAAATATGATGTTACAAAGGCATGCAAAAGCATTGCTCAAAAGGTAAAGGATGGTACTGTTCAACTAGAAGACATCGATGAAAGCCTACTTGAACAGGAATTGGAAACAAATTGTACCGAATATCCATGCCCTGATTTATTGATAAGAACCAGTGGAGAACTTAGAATCAGCAATTTCTTACTGTGGCAGCTGGCCTACACTGAACTCTTCTTCGCAGAAGCACTCTGGCCTGATTTTGGAAAAGCTGAGTTTATAGAGGCCTTAACTTCCTACCAGCAAAGACAGAGACGCTATGGTGGAAGACGTTCATAACTGCATGCTATTTGAACTTCAAGAATTATTGACACGAATTAATGCCTTTTGTGTCAGGCAAAGCTATATTGTTTTTTTAAATTGTGGTTGCTTTATTTTTAAATTATTTTTTATATTTAAATATATTAAAATAATTTTTTTATTTTTTAAAATCAATACATCAAAACAATCCAAAATATAATATATATATATATATATATATATATAAAAAAAGTTAATCCGCGCTTCTAAATACTCTCATGACAGGAGTTGACTATGATATTATGCAAGATATTTCCTAGACAGGAGAGCGAAAAGATTGTGAATTTATCTGGTATAATATTGTAGGTGTTGATCGTAATTTTTTGGGTTGTGGGTTTATTGAGTATATCAAATCTCCAGGTAATTCAAGAGAAAAAAGAATGAGAAAAGGCTGGTGGCTTAGTTCCTTTTTCTTATGATAGAAAAATTATAATATTTAATATAAAATTTTTTTACTAATTAATTGAAATATAATGAGAATTTTACTTTCTGAGCTATCTAGTATGAGGATATAAAATATTATGAATATATAAACTCCTTTGTAATTTTAAAATAATTAAATAAAAATTAAAGTACATTATGTTTATTGTAATTTTCCCTTAAAAATATCTAAAAACCACACTTCATCACATAACTTCAAATTATATGAGAAACATAAAAACAACATATTCCATTATAATTCATGGAATATCTCGTGCATCTATTAGTGGGCAAATCCAAGCTCGCTATAAATCTACTCATACAAATTAGGGGGTGTGTCGGAAAATGATGATAGAAATCATTTTGTGAGGGTAACAATTTCTAGTTTTGATTTTGCCATCCTGATGAACAACACGAAATCTTCAATGATTAGTATATAACTCAATGTTTAATATTTATCTTAATTAATGTTTAGATGCTTACAAGATTGTTGGTCTTTGTTATGTTGCAAGGTAAATTATTTTTTTAACGCAAAAAAAAATGTTATTAACCTATTTTCCTGTGAAAGATAATTTAAATTATGTGTAGATTAATTTGATATGTTAGGTCAATAATTTTAAAAGTTATTTAAATAATTAGAAAAAATAAAAAAATAGATGATTGTAAAATTAAATATCAATAAATAACAAAATATTTATTTAAGATTATAGTAACTTTATAAGAAGATTGATTAAATCACACTAAGTTAATTCCTATTAGATTTAATTTGAAACTTGGATAAGATAAGAAGCAAAAATATTGTAATTTTCAACTAATTTTTACTTAAAAATACATAAAAATACTCTTTGAACCTAGATGAACCTATTTATGGCTTCAAATAGCCTAAAAATGATCTAAAAATAGAATTTTTTTTATCAAATAGAACTTATTAATATCAATATTAATTTTTTTTTTAATAGAATCAGTGTGAACTAATATTTTTTCTATTTATCATTAAAATTTCTTGATTTTCTCTCTATCATCTTAAATTTACTGAAAAATAAAAAAATAAATTTTATATTAAAAATAAATTTAAAAAAAAACTAAAAATACTCAAAATAAATGAGTTGCAAAGCAAGACGACCAAGGTCAACGTTTTGAGTTAGTTTTAAAATAATCTTCTAGTTTCATATTATTTTTTATTTTGATTTCTTGTTGTTCAAATTTTTTCTTGGGTGACAAGTTAGAAGCAATTGTCCTCCGGTCTTTTCACAAAAGGATCACGTCGCACGAAAAAATGAAAAAAATATTTCATGACTTTGAATGCACAGTAGAAACGTCAAGCCTCTTAATTATTATTATTATTATTCAAGATGAACATTCCTCATCCACCAAGGCAACAACTAGTTGGTGGATAGCTTTTTCCATCGCAACAGTTGTCGCACGACAATCCCCACTTGACAATATATAAAATGTCCTCAAGCATTTATTTATCGTACGGGTAGTGTAGTCTTTTCAATCACATTCAAAAGCTGCCGGTTTATTACTAACGATGCTCTAAAAATTGCGAGGAAATTACTGTAGTTTTCTCTTGTCATATATTTTTATTCCTAGAGTTTATTTTTTTTATTTTTTATTTTTATTTTTTAAATTATCTTTATTAATTTTTTTAATATTATATTAATTAAAATTTTAATTTTATAATCTTTTAAAAAAATATTATAAATTATTATAATATTTCTTTATATAGTTTTTTTATAATTTTTTTAAAATATATGAGAAAAATACGGTAGCTTTTTCCACCTCACATGTTATTTTATATATATATATTTTTATTTGTTTTTTTTCATATTTTTTTTCTAACTTTTTCCTTTTTTTAGGCTTTACATTTTTTCCCCAAAATTGCCTTTTTCTTTTTTCTTTTTTTACTTTTTTTTTTGTGTTTTTAAAATTATTTTTATCAATTTTTTTAATATTGAATTTGTTAAAAATTTAGTTCTATAATTTTTTTCTTTAAAACATTATAAATTACTATATTGTTTCTATAAATGATTTTTTTATGAATTTTTTAAAATAATCTTTATTGTTTTTGCTTCGTATTTTTTTCTTTAAAATACTATGAATTATTATAATATTTCACCACATATTTTTTAAAATTATTTTTTTCAAATTTTATTAATATTAAACTGGTTGAAAATTCAGTTTTAACTTTTCCTACATGTTTTTTTTATTTTTTCATTTTTCTCAAAATTATCTTCTTTTTTTGTGTTTTTTTTTAAATTATTTTTGTTGATTTTATTTTTTTAATATGGAACTGGTTCAAAATTTAGTTTTATATTTTTTTTAAAAAACACTGTGGATTGTTACAGTGTTTCTTTATATGGTTTTTTATCAGAATTGTTTTTTTAAATTTTAATTTTATAATTTTTTTAAAAAAATTATGAATTATATTTTTTTATATATAACTTTTTTATATAATTTTTTTAACAAATCCACAACGATACATGAACATATTACAAACCTGTGGTATCGCGCGGGGATAAAATCTATCATCATGCATTTTCGCTAGGCTAGAACCTCACTTGCAAAAAAGATGGGCTTGGCACCGAAGTTGTCTCCTATGTGTCTGGGAAAGAATAATTGAAATAGATATTATGAAAAATAAAATAAAAATGTTAGTTTCTTTTAAAAAAAATTATAACAATAATTGTTTTTAAATATATATATATATATATACATATATATATAATTTTTTTATTTTTTAAAATTTAATTTTAATATTAACAAGTTAAAATAACTTTTTTAAAAAAACATTCTGTCTAATTTGTTTTTCTTGTTCTGTTTTTTTCCGACTCTAATCCCTGTTAGCTATGTAAAGCAATAACATATTGTTGTGGTTGTTCTTGTGTTTTAGAAATTTGTTCCTGTGTTTTAAAATTATTTTTTATTTTAAATTAATATATTTTTAGATTTTTAAATTATTTTCTGTGTTGATATAAAAAATAATTTAAAAAAATATTATTTTAAAATAAAAAATATTTTAAAAAGTAACCTCCACGTTTCTAAACACCATCATGCCACCACATCAGCATTGAAAAAAACTCAGTGACTGGAAAAACACCATTCTTCAACGATGAAAAAAAAATCACATAGTTTTACCACTCCAGTCCGTGAGTGATTAGTAATTGAAATAGTGAAACCAGCAGTTGTTTTAGTTTTAGTTCTAGTTTCATTCGTAATTTATAATTGTAATTTGAATTTGTAATCTGTAGTTGTAATAAGTAGTATAAAAATAGAAAAGCTTTAAAATGTTTTTTTTATTTAAAAAAGTTAACTTGCGGGACCCATGTTCTCGGTTGACTTCATATTTACTATTTATAATAAGCTGAAAACGGAGGCAGCCATCTGTGCGTTAGAACCAGCGGCCAATACATCACCCCTTCCCATCTTCCTTTTTTTTTGGGCCCCGCGTGGCCGTGTCCCTGTCAGCTTATAATTATCAAAGCAATAACATATTTAAAATGCCAACACATCAGCATTGAGCATTTTTGCTCTTATACTTATCAAGAACAAATGCAATTTCATTTTCCGAAAATACCCTCTGCTTGTCTAATTATATGTATGTCCACGTGTGTATGTATTAAGCTACGAATTGACCTAGATTTCACTGTAGACTCCCTCTCTAAGCACCATTGAATGAACAGTGCGGTTAATTTTTTTTTGTTTTTCTTTCGTACTTTGAGTTTTTATTTTTCATTCGTCGTTTTTTTTTTAATCCATCTTTACAAATCAGATAAGATTTTGGTTTATGATTTATTTTAACTAGTTTTTTATAGGATTATTGAGATATAAAAAAAATTAGTATTAAATTAGTGTTTGATTTTGTAAGATAGAAATCGATTTTATTGGTTAAAGCAAATTAATAATTTAGGGATCAAAACTGATAATAAAAAAAATTCAGCCACTTTCTTTCCTCCTGAGTGTACATGAGGTTCTTTTTTTAATTTGGACCCAAGAGTTTTTCTATTTTTCAAGTTTGATCCATGTTTTTTAATATTTTTATGTTTTGATCCAAAACTTTATTTTTTTATGGTTAAGTCCTTGAGTTTGAAATATTAGAGAGAAAGTGAGCAATTGTCCACATTTAAAAGATGAAAAAATATCATTTTTGATGTTGGTGAATTTCATTTTCGTGGGATAAGTTTTATTGAGGTATTTTTCCATTTACTTGTTAAGAAAAGTAAATCAAGACTGGGGATTGTGTTTTCAATCGGGATGAATTTCTGTTTTTGAACCAATTAAAGGTGTTTTGAGGTTAGATACAAGCTCATGTAAGTTTACAGGGTATTTTTAAAGTGTTTTACGGTGGCGGCGAGGGGAATTGGAAACAATTGTTTTAGGTCCAAAGGGGGCAAAACTTGATTTTTTGTCCACTTTCTAGCCACCCGAGGTAGTTGGAAAGCATGTATAAGATAATGCATTATTTGTATTTAAAAAATAAAATAAAATGGGCAAGCGATCCGAGAGGAAAATAAAACAAAACTACACTAAACGTCTAGGCCTAACATTACAGGGACACGTGCCTGACATATTTTTTAATGGGCCAAGCATGCTTACCCAACCAAGCTCAACCGCCCGCCCTTGGCTTGTAGTCCTTTTGT